AACTGTAAATCAAAATACACATTTTTTGTTTTTGCCTGAGAACTGCCCAGGAGGTGGCAATATTTTTACTAACCCCGAGCAGTGTCTGCAAGTATTTTCTCATGCTGCATACAGCCAACAAGACCAGCAATCAGAGGGTACAACAGCCTTTAACTGGCCTCAAATACAAAACACAGGACAAAAAGATCTTTGCCATCACCATTTCTCAAAGACCTTTTTACTGTGAGCCCACAGCAACATTTACTCACATAAATTTAAAACAGTGATTCAATCTGTATCCACTTAGAGTAAAAAAAAGAAAAGTTAATAGCATTTAAAACCTAAAACTTCATAAATAAAGGTTGCATAGAAACAGATGACTTTGTGCTACCCAACAAAACACTTTGTACACTTTTGGTTTCAGGTTTGTTTGACACAATCACATTGTCTACAAATCATCACATTGATCATCCCATTGCTGTGGCTTTCCAATTCCATTTCCTGTTGTAAGCTGAAGCTTTAAAAGTAGGTCAAAAGAAAATGTGGTGGAGGGTGGCAGCCAGAATGCATGCTTTTGGTGACTCAGCACTATCAGGAGACATCTCTTCTTCATGCTCCAAACCTAATGTCTCACAGACCTAAGAGTCGAAAGTCTTTACTGATTGTCTATAGCTCCTCCTTACAACCCAGGAGTCTGACAATGTTTGTTTCTGGAGAGTGAATAGGGTAATATTTGTTTCAAGTTATACTATGTACCCACAGTCTAAATATAGATGCCAGGACAAACCTTTTTAATTGTGCCAACGTCAAAGAAATTTCTTTCACAGAAATATATGTGCTTCATTTATTAATATAAATTCAAAGAAAATCTCTTTCACATTGCCAAACTTCTCATAATTTGACAAAGAGCAGCCCACCCTGAGCATGCTCCAATGCACAAAATGTGTAGTCGAGGTATAGTAGTTTAGATGTGGGCATATGAGGATATGCTAAAATTACTTTTCTGAATTTGCAACAGCAGCAATTTACTAGTGTTGGGAAAGCTTGGAAAATCACAAGTCACATACACACATATGAGCTTGTAGTCCAGACCCAGACACTGTTCTATATGGACCCAGACCTGCTATTAGATTTTGACTGAGCCTTTCTATTTTAACCTGCGCAACTTTTCTCACATTTACGGTGGTCATATTTTTACCCATGCTACCTTTTTTTGTCTTTACGGTATTAAATCCTGGCAGCACAAGGAACAGAAGAAAGAAGAGAAGGGGAACCTCAAGTAATGTGAGCAAGTCCTCCTGTGATGATAATTCTGATGGGTTATCAAGCTGGAAATCAACTTGCTTATTATTAGAGCGATGAAGTATTCCTGTTAAGTTCAGTGTAACATCAGTTCAAAGTTTCAGTGTAACTCAAATTCTGTTTTTGATAGACTGTTAAACTTGAATTTACACACAGTGTTTTGATTTTCCTCCACAAAGTTACTTGAATTAAATTTGGTTTTCATATATTTTGTTGTTGGACAGCGTAAAGGTTCAGTTTGTAGAATTTAGTAGAAGTTGCTTGTTGCAGCTGAACACCCCTCACCTCCCCCTCTCCTTCCAAAC